TAGGAGATGTCACCTGTTCCGGAGCTGACTCATTATCAAATTGCCTGGACAAGGCATCAGCCTTGGTAAGTAATGAGGAAATTAAAACGTGAAAGGAACAGTGACCATCTAGCCTGTCTGGAAGACAAACGTTTGACATCCCCTATATATGCCAGGTTTTTGTGGTTGGTTATGATCAACAGGGGGTCCTTGGAACCCTTCAAAAGATGTCGCCACTCCTTGAGGGCAAGAATAATGGCCAACAGTTCTCTATTGCCAATATCGTAGTTGCGCTCAGCAGGAGACATCTGGAGAAGTAGCCACAAGGATGCAATGGTGTTCCCTGGCTTTCTCTCTGAGAGAGAACAGCCCCTACCCCCGTCTCGGATGCATCAACCTCCAATATAAAAGGTTTACTGGTGTTGGGATGTTTTAGTATGTCCGCAGAGGCAAATCTTTGTTTAAGAGTCTCAAAAGCATTCACAGCCTCTTTGGACCATACCGTGCTACTAACCCCTTTGCGAGTCATATTAGTGATGGGGGCTATTACAGAAGAAAATCCCTTGATGAATCTTCTGTAATAGTTGGCAAAACCAATAAACCTTTGAATGGCTTTTAAACCAGAGGGTAATGGCCAGTGTAGTACAGCCTCTAGTTTTTTAGGATCCATTTGAAATCCCGATGCAGAGATGTTGTAACCCAAAAAGTGGACTTCAGGCTGGTCAAATATGCACTTTTCTAATTTACAATAAAGTTTCTTTTTCAACCACATCTGCAGAACCTGTTTTACATGGTAGTGGTGAGTTTGAAGATCAGGGGAATACACCAAATTATCGTCCAATTAAATCAAGACAAATGAGTAAATGAATTCCCTGAGTACATTATTTATAAAGTCTTGGAATACGGCCAGGGAGTTGCATAACCCAAATGGCATTACCAGATATTCATAGTGTCCACTACGGGTATTAAATGCCGTCTTCCACTCATGATTCTCTTTAATTCTAACCAAATTGTAAGCACTCCTAAGGTCAAGCTTAGTAAATACTTCCCTGAAGTCTATCGAACAATTCGGAAATGAATGGGATAGGGTATGCATTTTTTACAGTGATTTTATTAAGTGCCCTGTAGTCTATGCAAGGGCGTAACTCACCACCCTTTTTCTCAAAAAAAAAAGAATCCTGCACCAGCTTGTGAGGATGACTTTCTTATGTGCTCAAGGATTCTTTGATGTATTCCTCCATTATTTTACTCTCCTGGGGAGATAAGGCATAAACTGCCCCCTTAGGTGGCATAGCGCCTGGAAACAGGTTAATGGCACAGTCATATGCTCTGTGGGGAGGCAATACATCGGATTGAGCCTTGTTAAACACCTCCTGAAGTTCTCAGTATTGTATGGGAACTCCAGTAGTTTGGGGAGTGGTAGTGGGAAGGTCAATAGTATCCAATCTCTTTAGTACTGGTTTTATACATCTCCCCATACACTCTTTACCCCATTCTAATATAGGGATTAGCCCATTAGCCCAGTCAATATAGGGATTGTGCTTACTCAGCCACGGAAACCGTAATATGATAGGACATGATGGAGAAGTAATAACCTGAAACGTCATCTCCTCCCTATGGGAGTCCCCAATAGAGATCGTAATAGGGACAGTTTTGTGGGTTATAAGCGGTTGTGTGAGTGGTCTACCATCAATAGCCTCTACAGCTAGCGGCGTAGGTCTCTCCCTGAATGGTCTCTCATTACCCCTAATAAACTTGACATCAATAAAATTTCCAGCAGCACCTGAGTCCATTAGGGCACTGCAAGAAAACTTCTTGTTATCAAGGGAAATAGATACCTCAAGGAGGAATCTACTTTTGTTTTTGTTAGAGGACAACTCCATCACACCTAAGATCTGTCCCCTTAAGTTTCTTAGGTGCAGAAGTTTTACGGATGCACTGGGCAATTATTTCTACCACAATATAGGCATAACCCCTCCCTTCTCCTATACTGTTTTTCGGCCTCCGACAGTCTAGTGACCCCCAACTGCATAGGTTTGGGGTTGGACTGTACAGGGAGGTTAGACAAAACAGGTTTAGAGAATTGAGGTGCTAGGGACATAACCGTACGTCTGGTCTTGCTTCTGGTGACTTCTCTGAGTCTTAACCTATTATCAATATGCATGACAAACGTAATACATTTGTTAAGACTCTTAGGTAATTCTTTAGCGACTATCTCATCTAGTATAGTCTCTGAGAGACCCTTTTTGAATGCTGAGATTAACCCATTGTTAGTCCAGTCTACCTCAGAAGCTAAGGTACGGAATTCAATAGCATAATCCGAGATAGACCGGTTACCTTGTCTGATGTGCATTAGGGCAGTGGAGGCGTCATCCTCTCTACCTAATGGCTCAAACCGTGAGCTTGAATTCGGCAAGGAATTCCTGGTAATTTTGAGCTATGCTCCGATTTCTCTCCCACAACGGATTAGCCCAGGCAAGGGCCTTGCCCTTTAATTGATTCATTAGATAACCAATTTTTGCTCTGTCCGTGGGGAACGACCCTGGTGAGGCCTCAAAATGGTACTCCACCTGATTAAGAAAACCCCTGCATTCCTGGATATTGCCATCAAACTGTAGGGATGGCGATAAGGAGATGCTAGGAGTCCTATTAACAGTGGGTGGAGATACACAGGGTAGAGGTGCTATAGGAGGAGACGCTGCAGGCTGCAGATGCGCCATTCTAGCGAGAAGCGTACTGAAAGCTTGAGCAAATTGATCCATGCGGTGATCATTCTCTTCTAATTTCCTCTCGCAAGCAGCTATGTGCTGACACAGTTCTACAGGATCTAGGGCCATGTCGTAATGTCAGGATTACTGTTTGATCCAGCACGTAGAACTGTATAGCACGGATGACAAATAAGTAACATATTACCGGTCCTTAGAATGGCCGGATTTAACAAACATAGAATAGTCAAATACTAGCCGAGGTCAGGGAACACAGAAAGGGACGCAGCGATGAGGAAAGCCAGGAGTCAGTATACCAGAATATAGAGAAGTCAATAAACAAAGCCAAAGTCAAAAAACAGGTAGAAAACTAATAACAGGAACGCGCTCTCGGACAACCACAAGGGAAACCATGACAGGGCACTGAGCAGGATGAGAACTAGGCCTAAATAACCCTCCTTCTATAAGCGGATGAATACGTGACAATACGAAAAACTATCAACAGACCCAACATCCTCAATACAAGAAAAAATAGCTATTTGTTTTAAAAAAGGGATTAGAACAAAATATTTTAAATAAACACGAACATGATTATTTATACATCAAAGACCCCAAAATTCCAGTAATTAATTTTCTCCCTAAAATACATAAATACATTGAGCATCCCCCAGGAAGACCCATAGTGTCAGGGATTATTTCCCCCCTATGCAATTTATCTCAATCTACTGACACTCTACTCCAACCAGCGGTAAAGCTTATGAGGTCCTACCTGAAGGACTCCATGACACCAAGATTATTAAATGGTTTTTATTGGCAACCAGATTTTATTCTAGTAACATGTGATGTCATCTCACTATAATCCCTCACCAACTTGGATGTCAAGCTGTTAAAACTATTTTATCAAAAGAAAAGAGAATTCCTGATATTCAGATTGATTTTATCGTGGAGGGTATTAATATTATTTTAAACAACAACTGTTTCTGGTTCTTTGATTACTTTTACTTTCAAAAGAGAGGGACAGCTATGTGGATCAGGTTTGCCCCCAGCTATGTCAACCTCTTCATGGCAGACTGGGAATCCAGTGCCATTTGGGGGGAGCATACCTGGGAGCATAGCCTGGTCTCCTATTTTGGATATATTGATGACTTTTTTTTTATATGGAAGGGCTCTGAGGATTCCTTCAACTCTTTTATAACACACCTCAACACTAACAAAAGGGGTATCATTTTATCTTGCGAACACAGTAAAGACACATTCAATTTTTTAGACTTAAATATTTTTATTAAAGATGGGGCAGTTCACACAAAAACATTTTTAAAAAGGTATGCACCAATACAGCAATAGACCAGACCAGCTGCCATTATAATCCATGGCTTGAAAGTGCCCCTAAGAGCCAATTCTTACGCATACGCAGAAATTGTTCTCACACTGACGATTTTAATAAGCAATCATTATTTTTTAAAACAACAGTTCACTGAAAAAAATTACCAACAAAACTGAACAATGCTATAGAGATAGTGAGAAACAAACCAAGAGAAAGCCTTCTAACCTACAGAGACAAACACACTTTAGATGTTCCTACCCTTCCCATAATTTTTAACTATAACAACAAATGTGCTTTCATTAAAAAAACAATTAACAAACATTGGCACCTCTTGAGACAAGATGATCTTCTTAAAGAAATCCTACCAACAAAACCAAAAATTGTTTTTAGAGGTGCACCTAATTTCAGATCTAGTTTAACTAAGAACTATACCAAAGATATCAAACAAAATACTAATCATTAATTTTTAGACGGAGCAAAAGGTCTTTATAAATGTAAGTGCTGTATTGTTTGTAGGTGTATTGACCCCTCTACACAACCCAAGGTTACCAGTTTTAAATCAAACAGAACCAACAAAAGTTATAACATTAGAGATTTTATCGTATGCAACACAAAAAAATGTGATCTACCTATTGGAGTGCCTAAAGACAAGATTAGGAGAACACTGCAGGAATATTAAAAACGGATACCAAAACCATGCCGTATCTAAGCACTTTATTAATCACAACCAAGACCCTAAACTCGTAAAATACATTGGAATTAAAAAAATGTAAGGTCCCCTGGAGAGGGGGAAACATAAAAAATATTTTAGGCAGATCTGAAATGGAGTTGGTCTTTAACCTGCAGACCCTAGCTCCCCAAGGCTTCAATGTAGATTTCGATCTGTACAATTTTTTATAATTTTTTATAATTAACAATTCTTTCTAACTATCAATTTTTTATAACACTCTTACAATCTCCCAGATAATTTTTATAAGTGTTCTGTATAAGTGCTTATAAGTTATTTTAAGTATATATATTAACATTTTAATGGTTATCTATATCTAAACTGGCCCCCTTAATGTTTTATCTCTCCCTTGGTCATATTTCTTACTATAGATTTTTAACCATCAATATGTCTCAACTATTTAAGAGTTTAAATATTTACTATATGTACTGTTTTTGTCATCCATATGACATCCATATGTTGTCATCTTGGGGCTATCCTATTCGTAGTTGTTAGCTACGGCATTACAGTCTAGGATACCCCCAATATGACCACATTGTGCCAACTTTTATATACAAATTATTATATTGCCTATATGAAATGCTTTTTATATGTAGATAGGCTTAATAATCAATTTAAGTTTTTCTATTTCTACTATTTACTTGCAAAGTACATATTTCAGAGGTTAATTCCCAAGCCCGCAAACACAAACAATAGAAGGTGAATTGGGCGTTAAGCTTAAAAATACAAACTGGTTCAGCTTATACCAACTCAGTGTATAGTCACACAAATACACTCCAAATAGAATCCACAAACAAGAAAAGTGATAGAGCACAGAAGTATTTTTTACCTTTTTACAAAAAAATATATGCAGGTCCTATTTGCAGTTATAGTTCTTTAACAAATGTATTTGGTTCCTGGGTTCCTGCAATCTGAGTATTAGAGGACCTCCAAAGACAAAGAACCAGCGCATCCCACTTTGGTGGATGAAAGGCTTCTATAGTCCAGAACTTAACTTATTTGGCTCTGGAAATTGTACCTTTTTCCTTCATTTATATCACACATCTGTTTAAACAGTGTACACTATGCTGTGTTTTTTATATTTCATTACATACAGGGTCCACAGTTAAAGAACTATAACTGCCAATAGGACCTACATATTTTTTTTTGTAAAAAGGTAAAAAATACTTCTGTGTCACCTTTCTTTTCTGTTTGTTAATTCCCAAGCCCCCTTAATGTTTTCTCTCTCCCTTGGTCATATTTCTTACTTTAAGACTTTTTTACCATTAACCCCTTAAGGACCAAACTTCTGGAATAAAAGGGAATCATGACATGTCACACATGTCATGTGTCCTTAAGGGGTTAAAGGACCACTCTAGGCACCCAGACCACTTCAGCTTTATGAAGTGGCCTGGGTGCCAGGTACCTCTAGGATTAACCCTTTTTTTTATAAACATAGCAGTTTCAGAGAAACTGCTATGTTTATACTGAGGGTTAATCCAGCCTCCAGAGCCTCTAGTGGCTGTCTCATTGACAGCCGCTAGAGGCGCTTGCGTGCTTCTCACTGTGAAAATCACAGTGTCCATGTAAATGCTTTCCTATGCGACCGGCTGAATGCGCGCGCGGCTCCTGCCGCGCATGCACATTCAGCCGATCACGTCGCGAGCAAGGAGGAGAGGAGGAGTACAGCTCCCCGCCCGGCGCTGGAGAAAGGTAAGTGTTTAACCCCTTCCTCTCTCCAGAGCCCGGCGGGAGGGGGATCCTGAGGGTGGGGGCACCCTCAGGGCACTATAGTGCCAGGAAAACGAGTATGTTTTCCTGGCACTATAGTGGTCCTTTAACATGTCTCAAGTATTTATTGTATCCACTTGAATTATCTGAATGATTATATATCAACTATTTAAAAATTTTGAATATTAACTATATGTACTATTTTTGTCATCCATATGACATCCATATGTTGTCATCTTGGGGCTATCCTATTCGTAGTTGTTACCTACGGAATTACAGTCTAGGATACCCCCAATATGTCCACATTGTGCCAATATTTATATAAACATCATTATATTGCCTATATGAAATGCTTTTTATATGTAGATAGGCCTAACAATCAATTTAATTTTTATCTTTCAACAACTTACTTGCCAATAACTCATACCTCTGAAGTACATATTTCAGAGGTATGGGTTAATTCCCAAGAGACCCCTAATACACCCTTTGAGTGACTATTTAAAAAACGACACTTCCCCTGTATAGAATAATTATTTATTTACTTGATTTTTATTATATTGTGGCTCAAATATATGTTCTTAACTCCCTTTTTGCTTTAATTTGGTATATATGACATATTACTATATACAGCACCCCTGTGACCACAGCCAATATGGCTGCTCCTAACTCTCTGCCTACTGTTACTCTACAGTACTTTTTCCCCCACTAGCCACGCCGCTATGCACCATTCATGTCGCCCTTTTTCTTATTACAGCCAAATTAAAGGGGCCCGCCCCTTACAATGTGCGTACCGCCTACTAGATTGACGGCCGCACACGCCCAGTTACCCTTACTACATTTCCCAAGCGGCAAAGTGCCGCAAATCGTATGACCACTTCCGGTCTGACGAACCCTAGTGCCCATAACAATGCAAGCTATATTGCTCGCTTCACACTGCCATCAATGAATGCGTCGATCACGAGACCCGCGCACTACATTCCCCAACATGCAAAGCAAAGCATGTTTATACGCGAGTCACGTGACGCACTTTATTTATATATTCCTTAGTCCATACACTTCGTTTTTTAAACAATTTTAATTGCACTAGACCCTGTATAAAGTTATTTTTAATATAAACTGTTGTATTTTCATTTACAATATATGTGATATACAAATTTGATTCTATTGGCTACTGACAAATTATTATTTTTTGCGCCAATTTTTAAGTGATTATGTACCTATATATACTCATACCTGCCAGGCTTTTAATGTTATCCCATTTTGAAAAAACCCTAGTGGCGAAACACGTAAATGGTTTTATTAATTGTGTATTTTATATAATTAAAGATTTTTTGGTTACTATCTGTGGCAACTATCTTTCTATACACTTTTTTACTTCTACCTGGCATCTTATCAATTTTATCACGTACTTACAAGCTTATCCTAGTGGGGATCATACCACCAACGCTGTTACCATAGTGCAGTCGGCCTGCACTATACTTGTAAGTACATATTTATTCTTTTAACAAACATTTATACCTTGTGAGCACTATTAGCTGTTTTTACATATCCCTTTCCTGAGAGCTGAACATCATTCCCTCTAGAGGACAATCATCCATATATCCCAGAAGCGGGGATCATACCGCTGTACGCCCGATATACCTGAGCTGGCTATAGCTCATTTAAATGTGAGTGGAATATATATATATCTTTTTCTCACATATATTGACCCCTACACTCTCTATGTTTGGTCTCTTATCTTATGTCTTTCATATAACGAGAAAAATCAGACTACTTTAAACAGAGAGGAGACCCCTTCATCAAAAGCACCTTAAAATACATTTATTGCCATAGTGCAACCTCTAAACCTCTTTGGACTATTTTATATATAACACCAACTATCTTGTTTGCACTTTTTTATATGTCTCATTTATATGCTTTTTACTGTTTGTAGTCCACAGGGATTTATTTTGGCGCAGCCTTGCATTACTGTTGTTGTTGTTCTCCATTCTTATTATAGAGGGTTAGAGGGTCACCCTCTGCTAGGCCCCTGCCCATCCACTTTTTTATTTTTTTATTATTAGTGCTAACCTCCTTTATCTTTTTACATCGACCACATGAGCACTTGAGTAGATAAACTACTGAATGCAATTCCACCTCTACATGTAGACTCCACAAAATCAAGAATTTAGAATCTGATTTGAGAGACCGAGTGGGCAAAAGTTGTGAAATGCTCAGTTAAATCAATTTTTTTATATGTATCATGGATTTGTGCTAAAGTACCAATACAGTGCCAGGAAAACAAACTTGTTTTACTGGCACGATAGGGTCTTTGGGTCTCCCCCACCCTCAGGGTCCCCCTCCCGCCGGGCTTACGAGGGGTTAAGGGGTTAAACACTTACCTTTCTCCAGCGGGCTCCCTCAGAGCTGGGGAAAATCTCCTCCCTCTTCCGACGTCAGTGCTAAATGCGCATGCGCGGCAAGAGCCATGTGTGCATTCAATCAGTCCATAGGAAAGCATTACTCAATGCTTTCCTATGGACGTCAGCATCTTCTCACTGTGATTTTCACAGTGAGAATCACGGAAGCGCCTCTAGCAGCTGTCAGTGGGACAACCACTAGAGGCTGGATTAACTGCCATGTTTACAGAAGCAGGGTTAACCCTGGATGGACCTGGCACCCAGACCACTTAATTGAGCTGAAGTGGTCTGGGTGCCTATAGTGGTCCTTTAAAACAATCCTTTATACGAATTGTAGACTCGGCCACATAGATCAGACCACATAAGCACTTGAGTAGATAAACTACTAAATTCAATTGCATATATAGTAGTTTTTTATTTTGAAGGTCTTCCCACATGGGCGATCGTACCAATGTCTGCTTTTACTAAGGAGTCATGAATATTTTGGCACCTATAAATTATAATAAAGTAGAGTGGTGGATTTTGGAATTCTGTAATGGTGGGGTGTGTTCTATGTAAGATGTATCAGTGTCATAGTATATGTTCAATGTTTTTGCGATACCTGTTGTAAAAGGAAATCAAGGGTATCCTAGCAAGTTGTGATTTGATTCCATTGGATTGTAACAATGTGTCCCTGCTGAGGATAGAGAGGTAATGTCTCTCTTTGTGCAATAAATCATGAGGATAAGTTTCGAAGAAACTTATTAATCATGTCTTAATTGTAGGGACAGGGTCTGACTGTTGAACAGACTGGTCTCACGCTGCTTGAGCTCCGGGCAGCTTGCAATTTATGCATCTTCCAATTTATGTATTTTGCAGACAACTATCCAGATTTTAAAACCTGTCGGCACAGAAGGGGTCTCACTGTCTACAGGAATATACTGTCAGGCCGTATCTGGTCCAGCTCCGTTCTGGAGTTTCCGGTATGCGGAACCGGCTCCGCCCCCTTTCTGACGCGGCTCTCTCACGCTTTATAGAGAGACCGTGCCAGATTCAAGGTGCTTGGTGATTTCGGATGTTACTTCCGCATTCAACGCCGGCTAAGCTTCTCTTCGTTCCGAACGTGTACCGAACCTTACCGAATTAAATAGTGCCTATTCTAAATGAGCTAAACTGTATTTAACCCCTTCCCGACCATGGATGTATCAGGTACGTCCAACAAAATACATTCCATAAGGACACCAGGCGTACCTGATATGTCTGCGGCAAATTTGAGCGCTGGAAGCAATCATGATTGCTTCCAGTAGCTCTAATTGTATTGCACGATGCCTCGATATCAAGGCATCGTACAATACCGCCCTCACTGAAGGGCACCACTTGGCACCCGGCAGTGTAGAGCAGAGCATCGGAAGCCATCAGACAGGCTTCTGATGCTCTGCTGAGGGGTCGAAGCACTCCGTTAAAATAAAAAAAGAAATAATAATTTTTTTTTTTTTTAAATAACCTCTACCCTCCCTCACTCTTTCTCCCCATGTACTTACCGATCGCCCCGTCCCCCGCCGGTGATCGGTCTTCTTCTGAGGGAGGACTGTCTGGGCAGAGCACAGACAGTCACCGCTCTGCAAATTAGGAGCGCTAATGTGACCACTCTAAAAGAGTCCATAGTACTGCCAGCAGGGGGACTATCTGAACTGACAGGCTGGATGAAAAAATAAAATAAAGTTTATAAATTAAAAAATATATATATACACTTCGAGTAAAATTACACACGTGTGTGTGTATATATATATATATATATATATATATATATATATATATATATGTATGTATATATATATATATATATATATATATATATATGTATATATATATATACACCCACCCAAATACGGGGTACATTGATGTTGTGGCCGGCTTATGCAATGCATGATCATATAATGTAACTAAACCCCCATTATTTTTGCCTAGATTAGGTGTTTTTAAAAAAAAAACTAATAAAATCTGTCAACATTGAAGTTGTTGTTTAGGTGAGTGTGCTGGATCTTGTGTATTGTATAAATTGGCCCCTAGCAGCACCCCATTTATGCATGTTCAGGTGAGTACAGCCCCCTGTTTTCATATATATTGTGATCCTTGTTTGCAGATAGCATGGTCCTCTAGGGTAAACAACAGGCACAGTTCTTTTATTTTCATATAATCCAGGCACTTTATTTGTAAGTCCACACAGGAGACAGCAACAAATGAAAACATAAATATAACACAAATTCTTATAAACAAAAATCTAGCTCGTCTGAGCACTTACTAACATCAGGTTCCCTATCTCTCAGGGGTTAAACTAGAACAAAACAATATTGGTTTCACCAACCTAGTGTCTTTGTAAGCTCTCTGCACTCCAGTGCTTAGTCAGCCTGTTGCTTTCCTTTCTGCACTGCCAGTGCTCCAAGCCAGCCTTAACTGCTTACTTTCTGCACTCCCAGTGCTCCAAGCCAGTCATGACTGCTTTCCTTTCTGCACTCCCAGTGCTCAAAGCCAGCCTTGACTGCTTTCCTTTCTGCACTCCCAGTGCTCTGAGCCAGCCTTGACTGCTTTCCTTTCTGCACTCCCAGTGCTCCAAGCCAGCCTTGACGGCTTCCTTCTGCACTCCCAGTGCTCAAAGCCAGCCTTGACTTCTTTCCTTTCTGCACACCCAGTGCTCAGTCTCCTTGACTCTCTCACTGGAGAGAACAACCTCTCTCCTACCTGCTTCCAGGGAGGAAGCCAGCAATCCCCCTTTACCTGCCTAGCAGGGAGGGGTTTATTCCCACTGCTACAGCTGATTATCTGCAGCTGATCAGTGGGTTGGAGACAGTTCCAAAAAACTCTGGCCTGGACCTTATTTCTCCCAGTTGTGTATAAACTGAGGAGTGGAGCATTGGCCCACCCTGCTTTCCAAATGCTCCACCCCAGGGTCCCATAACTAAACGTAGCTTTGTGTTACCACACATAAAACATGTACTTCCCCTGGGGTTACATGTTAAGGGCCTCTCTGCCTTCACTTTATCACAATATATAAAAGCGTATCAATTAAACTGTTAATAGCTCCCGACTGATTCCTCTTTTGCAACTGTCACTAGTCTAATACTATCCTTACCTTTTTGTGTCACTTTACCCCACTCCCTCTAGCATGTAAGCTCATTAAGCAGGGCCCTCAACCCCTCTGTTCCTGTGTGTCCAACTTGTCTGGTTACAACTACATGTCTGTTCGTCCATCCATTGTAAAGTGCTGCGGAATTTGATGGTTCTATATAAATAATAACATCATAATAATAATAATAATATATATATATATATATAATAAAATATATATATATATATATATATATATATATATATATATACATAACATTATTTGGGAGTCTAGCCAACTCATTGGTTTTGCACCCCTCCCTGTCACAGGTGCCCCATTCCAGGGCCCTATTTAGCTTTGTACTGCAGAGAGCCCCAGATGGAATTTTTTCCCCAAGTAAGTGGGTTAATCTCCTAAGAGCAGATATTAGGCTGTTAGAGTAGGACCTATTAAAGATGGGGTACATTGACGTTGTGGCAGGCTTATGCAATGTATGATCATATAATGTAACTAAACCCCCATTATTATTGCCTAGATTAGGTGTTTTTAGAAAAACTAATTAAATCTGTCAACATTGAAACATTGAAGTTGCTGTTTGGTGGATAGATGAGTGTGCTGGATCTTGTGTAATATATATATATATATATATATATATATATATAACACAAGATATTGTTGCAGGAGAAAGCCGCAGAAGCCACACACAGAGAAATGGAAGCAGGCTCATTCAGGTAGAAAAAGGTCTTTATTGTTACCGATCGGGTCTCAGATGAACTCCTGTTCTAAAAATGTCTGAGCCCAGAGCACAGATGGCAAATGCTTTTTATTAACAATAACTCCTCCCATTCATAGCTCCACTCACATATACCCTTAGACCAATCAGTGAACAGGATATTCAGGATCACCTCATATGGGCAGACTGCATGACTCCTTTTAAGGACAAAGGAATGTGAGTACAGTTGATGTACATGCTCAGTACATTGATGACAGTATCTTGGCTACACGTAACTAACAGATACAACAAACACCTGTACTTGTATATGCCACATGGAGATTTCAGGCCTACTGAATGTTGGGCCTTGCTGAAATCCCATCACATTCTCCCCTTTGATGCTTCTGATACATAATTATTCATGATGCACCACCAATCTTCATTTACCAACACCACTCAAGTAACCAAGAGCCGGGACAGACCTTATAAGCATTCTAACTTAACTCTATTACCTCTCAACACTCATCGATCTGATTATTAATAGTCTCTCTGGGCTAGGGGTTCATATTTCCAAACGGCCATTACATGGGCAGCTGTCTTCCTCTATATAGTGCTCTCAATAACATTATGTATAACTACTAATGGAATCAGACAGGGCAGGAAGAGGCATAAGAAAATAATAAATACCACTCCTCCTACCATTGTCTTAATCCCACCATGCTGCTCATACCAACTCCCAAACCAACTATTTGGATTATACCCGTTTCAAGTCTGAGTGGGTACGTGCTCCAGTTTAACCATATTGCTGGTAATATCAATCACTGCCTGCCCCTCATCATCTATATGCAAACAACAATTACTAGGGTTATACTTTCCACACACACCTCCCTCTACTGCCAGCAAATAATCAAGAGCCAACCTATTTTGGTAAATGGCTGATCTCATGCGGGTATTTTGCTTCATCAAAAGGTTAAGGGCCTTAGCTGTCTCATTGGTTATGATCTCAACCACCGCTTGTAATCTTATAATTCGGTTGAGCATATACAGGGAGTGCAGAATTATTAGGCAAGTTGTATTTTTGAGGATTAATTTTATTATTGAACAACAACCATGTTCTCAATGAACCCAAAAAACTCATTAATATCAAAGCTGAATATTTTTGGAAGTAGTTTTTAGTTTGTTTTAGTTATAGCTATGTTAGGGGGATATCTGTGTGTGCAGGTGACTATTACTGTTCATAATTATTAGGCAACTTAACAAAAAACAAATATATACCCATTTCAATTATTTATTATTACCAGTGAAACCAATATAACATCTCAACATTCACAAATATACATTTCTGACATTCAAAAACAAAACAAAAACAAATCAGTGACCAATATAGCCACCTTTCTTTGCAAGGACACTCAAAAGCCTGCCATCCATGGATTCTGTCAGTGTTTTGATCTGTTCACCATCAACATTGCGTGCAGCAGCAACCACAGCCTCCCAGACACTGTTCAGAGAGGTGTACTGTTTTCCCTCCTTGTAAATCTCACATTTGATGATGGACCACAGGTTCTCAATGGGGTTCAGATCAGGTGAACAAGGATGCCATGTCATTAGATTTTCTTCTTTTATACCCTTTCTTGCCAGCCACGCTGTGGAGTACTTGGACGCGTGTGATGGAGCATTGTCCTGCATGAAAATCATGTTTTTCTTGAAGGATGCAGACTTCTTCCTGTACCACTGCTTGAAGAAGGTGTCTTCCAGGAACTGGCAGTAGGACTGGGAGTTGAGCTTGACTCCATCCTCAACCCGAAAAGGCCCCACAAGCTCATCTTTGATGATACCAGCCCAAACCAGTACTCCACCTCCACCTTGCTGGCGTCTGAGTCGGACTGGAGCTCTCTGCCCTTTACCAATCCAGCCACGGGCCCATCCATCTGGCCCATCAAGACTCACTCTCATTTCATCAGTCCATAAAACCTTAGAAAAATCAGTCTTGAGATATTTCTTGGCCCAGTCTTGACGTTTCAGCTTGTGTCTTGTTCAGTGGTGGTCGTCTTTCAGCCTTTCTTACCTTGGCCATGTCTCTGAGTATTGCACACCTTGTGCTTTTGGGCACTCCAGTGATGTTGCAGCTCTGAAATATGGCCAAACTGGTGGCAAGTGGCATCGTGGCAGCTGCACGCTTGACTTTTCTCAGTTCATGGGCAGTTATTTTGTGCCTTGGTTTTTCCACACGCTTCTTGCGACCCTGTTGACTATTTTGAATGAAACGCTTGATTGTTCGATGATCACGCTTCAGAAGCTTTGCAATTTTAAGAGTGCTGCATCCCTCTGCAAGATATCTCACTATTTTTGACTTTTCTGAGCCTGTCAAGTCCTTCTTTTGACCCATTTTGCCAAAGGAAAGGAAGTTGCCTAATAATTATGCACACCTGATATAGGGTGTTGATGTCATTAGACCACACCCCTTCTCATTACAGAGATGCACATCACCTAATATGCTTAATTGGTAGTAGGCTTTCGAGCCTATACAGCTTGGAGTAAGACAACATGCATAAAGAGGATGATGTGGTCAAAATACTCATTTGCCTAATAATTCTGCACTCCCTGTATATGGGCGTTCGGTAACTATAAGTACCATCTTCAGCCTAGGTAGCAGGTCCATAATCATTAATAATATGTTGGGGAGGCCACTCATCATCTTCCCTACGTTCAATGATGCTCGCTTCTTTTTATGATTTACGTCATAAACCTTAACTCCCAAGGTCTCTCCCGTTTCAATTGGTAACAAGAAGAAGGATGGTTTGAGCATACCTATCACACATGCCCCTTCCCAATCTTGTGGTAATTCCGAGTATGCTTTCTTACCACAGATCCAATATAAATTTGCTGGGGCTTTCCAATTAGATGCAGCAGATAGATCAAACCATACCTCTCTCAAATTGGTGTAATTGGCAAAAGGATTAGTAGGTTCTGAGACATTTAAAGCAGACCACCAAGTAGTATCTTTAGTATTGGCATTATAGGCCTTCTGTCCTAAACATGTTAACTCGCCAACAGGTGTATTATACATTGGCCCTCTTCTAGCAAAACATACATGGCCTATAATAGATGTCTTTAAATGCCACTCCGATTTTTCTCTCACACTTACTTGATGGCCAGTTTGGAAAGGCATCTGTTGTTCATTTGTCTCAGAACCAGGGTACAATACTTCTCTTGCTTCCCAGGGCCATTGACCTCCCATATTAGTACCTCCACATACAAAGCAGTTAACTAATATTAAGACTACCTGCTATACTCTCAGCTAAATCAATAAACAGATTCTTAACATTATGGGGAACTTTATCCTCAACACTTATCTCCTCATAAAAAAGAATGGAAAACCTGATGAGTCTGAGCAGCTGTTGTCTCGGTTTCAATACCTACATATAATATGGCTCCCGGATCTGTTCCTGTACCATGTATCTGAAACCCCAAAAGACTCCCAAACTTATCAATAAATTGCTGCGGATTGGAAATGGTCATATATACAGGATTACATTTCATGGTTTTACAATACGGTGTAGTGGGCAACCTTTGGATAATCATATCTTGATCTACTGTCTTCCCCAGGTCGCCCAACCTACACATGACCAATATGGGCAGATCAGGATCAGTAGATCTTTTACTAGGGCATAAATATTCGTTGCTGAACCCATAAGTTCGCTGTCATTTAAGATTACCACATACATTCCAAGGTTTTCTACTACCCGAAATCGCCTTACATGCATCAAATAATAGAATACCCATAGAATGTATGGTGCTTTTAAAAGTCCTATTTATCAATGTTACCTGAGAGTTACTATTTTGAATTACCAACCAAATTGTACGGGGCTGGAATTGGGGATCGAAACACTTAGGCTCACCTGATATCGGTTGACACACACTATAATCAGTATCTAAGTACCTACACCTAGACACAGATCCTCTACATTAATATTGTGAGTGCCAAATTAGGGTCTGGGATATCTGGTTACCTGTTTTTGTAGTCTTAATACAACTAACACAGCTTGGAATATCCTCACCTTTACCTTCCTGAAAAAATATAAAAATACTGAAACATAACTAAACACACATTCTTGTGGTCCTCATCCCACTCTTCGACCGTGCAATGGCACCTCAGCTTATCGCTTGTGAGGGCTGCAAGGATTGTTGTCCTTCTGATCCTCACTTACTTTCTCATAGGTCCCTCTGAGACACTCTGGCTATGACAAGTAGGTAGGTGGTCAGGCTTTATTATGGCCATCAAAAAACCTACTTGCCGATCTCCAAAGGCTTTTAACCACAATATCCCCTCATATTTTTCCTCACGTCACATTCAATCTGACTGGGTTATTCGCTTCAACTGGATCTTGCAAGGATTCTCAGGATCTGGAGTAGCTTGCCAGGAATCTGCAGCTGGTTTAACCCTAGAGTGATGAATCCAAGGAGTCACCTCTGCCACCTTTACAGCTGTTGGGGTAGATAAAAGAACAACAGAAGGACCTCTCCACTTTGGACCCAATGGGACAGTATTCCATTCTTTTATCCATACTTGGTCACCCGGATGGTATGAGTGAACAGGTGGATATATGTTCACAGGTAACCTATCTTGCACCCATTTCTGTGCCTCCTCCATAGTTTTACCCAACTCCACAACCTGCTGCCGAGTAATTCCATCACCTAACTGACATAAGTCCCCCCATACATAATTTCAAAGGGAGACAGACTTATTTTTCTAGTATTCGCAACAGAGCTATTGGCAAAAGGACATTCCACTTGAGCTGAGTTTCTTGACACATTTTAGCCAATTGAGTCTCACACATAGGGTTTCTGACCTAATGTAAGTTTGTCAGCTTCCGCTACCAACAAAGCTGCAGCAGCCACTGCTCGTAGACAAGGTGGAAGACCACTAGCCACCATATCCAGCTGTTTGGACATGTAAGCTATAGGTCTTTGCCATGCTCCTAAGTACTGAGTTAACACTCCCACTGCCATTCTTTTTTGCTCATGCACCTACAGGTAGAAAGGACGCAAGTGATCTGGTAGGCCCAGGGCTGGGGCACTCATAAGTGCTTTTCTTGATGTCTTCAAATGCCTTCTGTTGCTCTGCAGTCCATAGGAAGGGATCATGTTCCATGCCTTTTACAGCTTCATATAAGGGTTTCGCCAATATCGCATAATTAGGAATCCATATCCTACAGAATCCTGCTGCTCCCAATAATTCTTGCACTTGTCTTCTATTCATGGGTACAGGTATTTGACACACTGCTTCTTTTCTTTCAGGTTCCATTGTTCTTTGACCTTCAGAGATATTGAATCCTAAAAAGTTGACAGTTGGCTGACACAATAGAGCCTTCTTCCTTGATACCTTGTAACATGCCCTCCAAAGAATGTGGAGTAGATCATGGGTTACTTGTTGGCACATCTCTTTAGTAACTGCAGCTATCAAGAGATCATCCACATACTGAAGCAATACACATTCCCCTGGGATGGATTTGAAGTCTTGTAAATCTTGACTCAGTGCAGATCCAAATAGGGTAGGTGAATTTTTGAACCCTTGTGGTATCTTGGTCCAAGTCATCTGACGCTTTGATCCCGTAACAGCATCTTCCCATTGAAAAGCAAAGATGCACTGACTTTCAACAGCAAGTCAAGGCAGAAGAAAGCATCTTTAAGATCTAGGACTGTAAAGTATCTACCTGGAATTAGGGCAAGCAGATTATAGGGGTTGGGTACCACTGGGTGTATATTAACTACTGCATCATTAACTGCTCTTAAATCTTGTACAGGACGATACTCATCTGATCCTGGTTTTTTGAACAGGTAATAATGGAGTGTTCCAAGGGGAGGTACAGAATTTTAGGATGCCATACTTCACGAACTTATCCAAGTAGATCTGTATGTTCTCCTTGGCCTTCTGAAGTATGTGATACTGGCGTAGGCTCACAGGGTAGGCCCCAAGTTTTAGTTCAATATGTATCGGTGGGATATTACGAGCAAGTCCTGGAAGATTATTCTCTGCCCATATTCATAGAATGTCAAATAAAGTTCCATCACTTTTAGGGGTTGCATTTGTTATTACAGAGTAGAAGCGCCATTCTTCTTCTTTTGGTACCAATACCGCTATCATGCCTGGTGATTTATTAAACTTCAGAGACGTTGATCCATTAGGTAGAAACATTATCTTGAGCTTGAAGCTTTGATAGTAGATCTCGTCCTAGAAGTTGAATTGGACACTCTGGCATATATAGGAACTGGTGCACACAAAATGGCCCCCTAAAATGCAAGTGCGACTCCTGAGAACCGGTCTAGCAGTGCTTCTCCCAGTAGCTCCTATTACAGTCTTTCCAGAAGGAGGAGCTACCAACTTAGTCACCACAGAATGTTCAGCACCCGTATCAATCATGAAAGGACTTCTCTTTCCCCCTATTTTGACATCGACCATAGGCTCCGCTCGACCAAGGAGGATGGAGCCCAGTCAGTATCAATAGTCTTCCATGACAGTGTCAGCCAGACCCACAAAATCTCTATCTTCCCTATCCCTAGGTCTCTGGGTGATTATATCTTCCTTCCTGAACACCCCCTCTGCCATTTCCATTAATTCCTTCAAAACTTCCTCTTCCTCGTCCTCGTCCATAACTACCTCGCCCCCTTCTCTCATCTTGTCTACCACCTACAATATATCCCCTCTGTGGGCAGTCCCTCTTCCAATGTCCTTCCTCTCTACAATATGCACATTGATCTCTGCCTAGTGGTACCCTGCTCATCCTATTTTCAACTCCTCTATCCATCTCCCCTCCCTGTCTCGCTACTCCTGTTATAGCTACTGCTAACATGTCTGCTTTCTTCCTCATTTTACGTTCCTCTTCACGCTTTGTCTCAGTTTCCCTATTCATATATACTTTATTTGCAACCTCCATTAACTGTGATATAGACATCCCTGCAAATCCCTCTAACTTTTGTAACTTTCTTTTAATATCGTTCTGGGCCTGGCTGACAAAGGCTGAGTTAATCATTCGGGCAATATGAGGCGGACCATGGGTAAGCCGGGGAGGCATATGTAAATGTCGGGATTGAAGGGTACCAGTCGTTTGTCGGGTTAGGATGGGACTTCGATAGGGTTGTTTAGTAACAAGTTCTGGAATTAAGAGTACTGGTCGATAACGCTTTTAACAGAATATTCTGGGCAGGGCTGGGAGGAGCCTGACCAGTAACAAGAAGTGACGTCAATTCCGGATACAAGGAACTAGTGGAGGTAGATACCGGAAGGGGAGGGCTTAGGGTAAGTGGGCTGGCCTCTGGGTTAGGTGAGTGGATGGGCAGGGACAATGGAGCAGGGGGAGTGCGTACACCTACTACACCTCCTCTAACTCTGGAGAAGGAGTAAGGGGGTGGCAAAGGGAGTTCGGACTCAGGGGGTGTGTCCAAGATGGACGGGGTTGCCGCCCTCATGGACAGACGAATCCTGGCCACCATGAGGCGACATTGCTCCTCGTGGCATAATTTTATCCACTTAGGCAACTCTTCTACGATCTGTTTCCAACAGTCAATTTAGGGAAACTGGTCATAGAATTCCAGCCTACTAGTTACAGCCACGTGTACACGCTGCACTAAATTTAAGTCAAGTCTACCATGTGGAGGCCATGCGGCCACTATGATAGGCCACTCCCTACTACACAGTGTAGTCAATCGCTTTGGGGATAGCTTTGCACCATAATCGCAAACAGCCTATCCCTTAGAGAAGTTCTTCAACATACAAGACAATGGTTCAACGACCTTTGAATCAGACGCACCCATACTGTAAATGGGGTATCTGATTCAAAACCACAACAAATATTCAAACACATTTCCAACGGTTACACCAATTACCTTAGCAACAGCACCACACGGCACGGTTACTAGGCCTAAACACACACATACACACACGCACAGGATCCTCACACACTCAACAATATCACAAAGTCGCACACACAAAATAAAATCAAAAACCCACCAAAAGCTATACACTTATCAATATAACTATTATTCAAACCATACAATTATCCATACTATTAATCCACATAAACTAACCGATCACATAACATTTCAACAATTTAATCTCTACAGTCCGTGGTTATGGTATGGCTAGTAATTATTGTACAGTTAGAGTTACAATATCAATTAGTAATAGTTAAGGTGTTACACATACAATGTCAAACAGTAATTTTAGTGTCGTTAATGTAGTCAGTAGATATGGTATTATGAAGTACTTATGGTATTATAAAGTGGCTATGGTATTATGAAGTAGTTATGGTATTATGAAGTGGTTATGGTATTATGCTAAACGGCAGAGCTCAAGCTTTCTAGCAGGACATACATTTCACCAATTACAAAGTATCTATACAACATTTACAGTAAAACCCAACTACTCTAACTGGCCAGCTCCTTGAAAGCTACAGAACGGGATATACAACAATATTCGGGTAGTTTACGCTGCCCAGGCACCACAATCTAGTGGACGGAATGTACACCAAAACCCACTTAGTCTATATATTCTATGATCTAGTGGCTGAATGTACAACCAAACACACTTAGTCAAAATAGTGTGAGAGCTAGCAGAGGGAATATGCAACTGAATCTCATTTAGTCTCGCCGGTATCCCCTGATCTAGTGACCAAATTTACACAAAAGCCACCTAGTCTGCCAGGACACCGGTGTCTGGCTGAACATATATACACCAAATTCAGCCTGACTACAATCCTCCTATATTAAACGGGCTGGCTACAGAGCGTTTAATTTCAAATAAGTGGTGAGCCTTCGCTTCTTCCCTCCGTAGGGAGGGGTCAATCAACCAATCAGATACGGATCCTGCCCCTAGTAGGTCCACAGTTAACCTTTTAGTTCCTGGACCTGGGTTCACACTCATCGATGGGACACCCCGGTACTCACTGCGCAGAAGCCGATGATCTCCTTGGCCAACAGGCCAATGGCGCCGAGACGAAAGGAGGTCCACAAAGAAGTCCAGGGGTGCTGCCGTGGAAGATTTGGTAAAAGGTTACTGTCTCAAATTTCTGCGCCTGCTTCCGTGCGATGAAGTTCCCACCGCCAATGCACCAATTATGTTGCAGGAGAAAGCCGCAGAAGCTACACACAGAGAAATGGAAGCAGGTTCATTCAGGAAGAAAAAGGTCGGGTCTCAGATGAACTCATGTTCTAAAAATGTCTGAGCCCAGAGCACAGATTGCAAATGCTTTTTATTAACAATAACTCCTCCCATTTATAGCTCCACTCACACATACCCTTAGACCAATCAGTGAACAGAATATTCAGGATCACCTCATATGAGAAGACTGCATGACTCCTTTTAAGGACAAAGGAGTGTGAGTAAAGTTGATGCACATGCTCATTACATTGATGACAGTATCTTAGCTACATGTAACTAACTAACAGATACAACAAACACCTGTACTTGTATATGCCACATGGAGATTTCAGGCCTACTGAATTTTGGGCCTTGCTGAAATCCTATCACAATATATATACACTGAACAAAATTATAAATGCAACACTTTTGTTTTTGCCCCCATTTTTCAAGAGCTGAACTCAAAAGTCTAAGACTTTTTCTATGTACACAAAAAGCCTATTTCTCTCAAATATTGTTCACAAATCTGTCTAAATCTTTGTTAGTGAGCACGTCTACTTTGCCGAGATAATCCATCCACCTCACAGTTGTGGCATATCAAAATGCTGGTTAGACAGCATGATTATTGCACAGGTGTGCCTTAGGCTAGCCACTCTAAAAGGTGCATTTTTACTGTATTGAAGGGGTCTGGGGGGGTCTGAAAACCAGTCTGTATCTGATGTGACCACTATTTGCCCCACGCAGTGCAACACATCTCCTTCGCATAGAGTTGATCAAGTTGTTGATTGTGGCCTCAGGATCTCATCACAGTATCTCTGTGCATTCAAAATGCCATCAGTACAATGCACCTGTGTTTGTTGTCCATAACAAATGCCTGCCCATTCCATAACCCCACTGCCACCATGGGCCACTCGATCCACAACGTTGACATCAGCAAACCGCTCACCCACACAACGCCCTACACCCTGTCTGCCATCTGTCCTTTACAGTGAAAACCGGGATTCATCGATGAAGAGAACACCCCTCCAAAGTGCCAGACACCATCGAATGTGAACATTTGCCCACTCAAGTCGGTTACAATGACAAACTGCAGTCAGGTCGAGACCCACGATGAGGAACGACGAGCATGCAGATGAGCTTCCCTGAGACAGTTTCTGACAGTTTGTGCATAAATTCTTTGGTTATGCAAGCCGATTGTTGCTTGTACTGCCAAATTCTCTGAAACACCTTTGGAGACGGCTTATGGTAGAAAAATGAACAATTCACGGGCAACAGCTCTGGTGGACATTCCTGTAGTCAGCATGCCAATTGCACGCTCCCTCAAAACTTGCGACATCTGTGTATACATATACACATACATACACACACACTTATATATATATATATATATATATATATATATATAATATAAATTGGGAAAAAAATACATTTATAAAAAAAAAAGTAAAAACGCTAACTTTGACCAGTGTTTGTGACTAAGTGGCTACTACAAAAGACTGGAAATAACCCAATTTTGAATACCCTGGGTTGTCTACATATGAAATTGGTATGCCTTGATGGGGTTATTTTCCATTCCTGGGCTACCCTATGGTCTCAAAATGCAACACAGACCCAGCAAACCAATCTGGCAAACTGAATTGGACAAGCCCTATAGTGACTCTGTAACTTTTTAAAATACCATAAAACCTGTACAAGGGGGGTATTGTTATACTTGGGAGACTTCGCTCAACACAAATATGAGTGTTTAAAACAGTAAAACATATCACAACGATGAAATCACCAGTAAAAGTGCAGTTTTTGTGTAAAGAACACGCAAAAAACAAATATGAACGCTAACTTTGGCAAGCATTTGTGGCTACTACAAAAGACTGGACATACCCCATTTTGAATACCCTGGGTTGCCTACTTTTACAAATGGTATGCCGTGAATGGGTTCATTTTCATTCCTTAGTGCATGAAAATACCACCATTAAAATACCACCAATTGAAATACCCTAGGGTGTCTACTTTTCAAAAACATATGGTTTGATGGGGGTGAATTACTTTGGCCGGCTTCAAAAATGTCCCAAATAGGACATGGGTGCATGATGACCAGCTGAGAAAATTCCAAGTTGGAAAACTGGAATGCGTACCCTTCAAATAAAATCTTTTAGCCCCCAGAGAACCTGCCACACCTATACATGAGTGGTATCACTGTACTTAGGAGATGTTACTGAACACATATTGGGGTGTTCTTTGTCAGTAACACATAACAGGAACTGAGAATCCATGCCTAAATTACAATGTGAGAGAAAAATAAGACAAAAAATGACTACCCAAAAAGTTTGACAAAGACTGGTGTTAGAATTAGTGCATGGAAAGTGTTAAAATACCACCACTTGAAATACCCTAGAGTGTCTACTTTTCAAAAATATATGGTTTGATGGGGTTAAATTATATTGGCCGGCTTCAAAAATGTTTCAAATAGGACATGGGTGCATGATGGCCAGCTGTGAAAATTCCAAGTTGGAAAACTGGAATGCGCACCCTCAGTAACCCTTAAAGTTCTCCGTGCATGTATTCTTAAATTGTTATGTGGGTCAAAAATTTTTTTTAATTTGGCATAGATTGGTGGTAAAATGGTTGAATGAAAAGACTCAAAATACCCCAACCTTAGGTTGTCTTCTTTTAAAAAATATATACATGTGAAGGATTATTCAGGGATTCCTGAGAGATATCAGTGGTACAATGTAACTTGCATTAATTTTGAAAAAAAAAAAATGGTTTGGAAATAGCCAAGTGCTACTTGAACTTATTGTCCTATAACCTTCCAAAAAAAGCTAAGAACATGTTAACATTGGGTATTTCTAAACTCAGAACAAAAGTTAGAAACTATTTAGCATGGGTGTTTTTTGGAGGTTGTAGAAGCGTAACAGATTTTGGGGGACAAAGTTCGAAAAAGTGTGTTTTCTTACATTTTTTCATCATATTAAAAAAAAATTATAGTAAATTATATGATATGATGAAAATGATGGTATATTTAGAAAGGCGATTTAACAGCGAAAAAAAAACAGGTACAGTAAATGAGTAAGAAAAAAAACATTGTGCATGAGCCTCTAAAATCATGTTTCAATGATTAGGTAGTGGATTATTTCACATTTTTCACAGGTTAGCTTAACTGTCTGTTCCCCTTTCTTAAGTAGCTTACTTTGTTCATTACCATAACTGCCCCACCTTTGTCTGCAGGTTTAATAAAAATATCAATATTAGACTTTAATTTCATGAGTGTCGCATATTAAATAAACCTAACCCTTTTTTTTTCTCGCACTACACTGTGATGCCTGTCGGATATTTTCTGGTTTGAGTTCATACTTGCGGATTGCAGGTCTCAGAGCTCCAGTGCAATTCATAAGTCTTGTGTGCAACACAGCTACCCCTGTGAAATCCAGATAAAGCAGAAATTGCTATGACCCAGGTTATGTTTAACTAACACCACAGTCCCACAGTCCCACAAAAAAGGATATATATATATTGGTAAGCCCGTCTCACACTAGGATCAAGGATCCAGGCTAGGAAAACATACACATTTTCTTTGCTCCAAAAAAAAAAACTTTTATCCACTGCATATTGGGAAAATAATTTCACACTAGAATAAATGACAACATGCCAGGGCCAATCTTGGACCTCCCACTTAGTTTTCTCTAGTGCTTCTAGTATTACTAGTTGCTAGATACAACATAAAACTAAACTTAATCTCACAATATGATTAATGACTCAGACTAAACAAAAGAACAACAGAAACCCAACAACAGAAACCCAAAAGAAAATGGTACAGTTAACAAAAAATAAACCCAACAACAGAAACCCAAAAGAAAATGGTACAGTTAAAAAAAAATAAACAACTGTAAATTGGTAAAAAAAAAAAAATAATAATAATACAAAAAAGCCTCACACTACAATAAATGACAAAATGCTAGCCAACTCCTGTGCAGTACTAGCTACTTGATCAGCATAAAGCTAAAGCTAGTCACACACTAGAATCAATGCCCATCTCCCATTCACACACAGGCACAGAAAACTGTCTGGAAAAATCCAATCTGGAAATGTATAGGTTTAGTACTACTCATTTTCCCCCCTATTGGTCACTTCCAGGGCCGGACTGGGAATGAAAATCAGCCCTGGAAAAAAATTCTATACCAGCCCCATAATGCATCGCGCCAGCATAGTGTGCAGATATGGAAGTGGGAAAAAAAAACCTTAAAACTAAAACCGATCACTCAAACATGAAAGAAAGAGCAGATTTATAGTAAGCAGATGTGCATTTGCATATAATCAATGTTTCAGTCCAACTACCTTGATATATTAAGAAATGTTTGGTCATTTGGATTGAAATTGTGAATGTATGCTATTGCAGAGCATTAAAAAAAATTATGTTATCTTGCTCATTTTGAAGTAACGAGAGTGTGCTCTTCACTTTGGCCAACAACTGGATGATCTCCCATAGGAAAGCATTGGCAGGATATTGTGCATGTGTGGCAAAACGCAGTGCTTCACCGCACCAATCAGCATCTCCTCATATTGATACATTGCATCAATGCATCTCTACGGGGAGCGTTCAGGGCCTCCATGCAGAGAGTGTAGATGCTCAACATTGGTGCTGCACGTGCAGCACTAGACTAGAAAGCATCTCTAGTGGCTGTCTGAATGACTGTCACTAGAGATGTGCCTAGGCAGCAATGTAAACACTGCCTTTTCTATGAAAAGGTAGCATTTACAGTGCTCAGCCTACAGGGACAGGCTATAGACACCAGAACCACTACAATAAACTGTAGTAGTTCTGTGACTATAGTGTCCCTTAAATATCACGTCTTTCTCTCATCAGCTGACTTTGAGTTACAAGGAGAGCAGGAGACACAAGTGAAGTTTGTTTGTTTTTCTCCCCAATCCCCTTTCATGTGTCTCTCAGCCCCAGCCCCTTTGTCTCTTTCCCAGGCCCCAGCACCTCTATGTGTATCTTTCCCCACAGCTCCTCTTTGTGTCTTTTGTTCGTCTTCCTCAGCTCCTCTGTGTGCATCTCCTGTTCCCGTTTCCCAATCCGTCTGTCTCTTTCCCACACACCTCCGTGTGTCTTTTTTACTCCCCAGCCCCTCCATGTGTCTCATTACCTCACAGCCCTCCATGTGTCTCAGTAGCCCCCCCAGCCCTTCATGTGTCCTATTAGCCCTCTCTCCCAGTTCTCCGTGTGTCCCTATAGCTTTGCCACCCCTCCAAGTGTCCCTATACCCCCTCCCAACCTTCCATGTGTCTAGAGTGACCAGATTTTGAAAATACAAAAATCACAAAAAACAAAACAAAAAAAAACAGAGAAATACATACACACTAGAAGTCACTTGGCCAGAAGTGGCTGTTACAGCTTATCCCCTTCCTGGTACTCAAATGATTGTCTTTTCATTTACATTTTGTAGGAGCATGATCATCAGAGCACACACATACCCTAGACCAGGGCCATCGTAACAGCATAATAGCCCACTGGGCAAACCAATGCACTGGGGCCCTGACTACGCAACCACTCAAAGGAATACAAATATAAATTATCAGTAAAATGAGGCTTATATTTATTGGTACCTCCAACAAATACAATACTTACACACACAGACAGACTGCTGAATACACGCACACAGACTGCTGAATACACACACACTGCTGAATACACACACACTGCTGAATACACACAAACTGCAAAAAACACACACAGACTGCTGAATACACACATATAGAGTTTCTTTTTAAAGCCTCAAATACATTCTATCATCAAAACCCAGCAAAAAATTATTAGCGTTTCAGCTGATATTTTTAGAGAATTCTGACTGGATTTTAATTCTAGCAGCTGAACCCAATAAATGGATCGCCAGCTTCAGAAAAATTTCTGATAACAGCTATTGCTACCAATTTACAATTAACATTCCCCCCTGTGCCACCACTTCTGAGCATTAGGTGCAAGCTATAAAATAAAGAATGGGGGTAGACAGATCGCTGTTAGCCCCCCAATGGTGGAGCTATTTATTAAAAAATAAATCAAATGGGTGAACCCCAATGTTTGTTCCCAACTATTGACAAACATTAGGGGTGGATCCATTGAAGGCTAAAATTAAATAGAAGACATGTCATTGTCCATTAGGCATGTGCATGGGAAAAAATTTCAGTTCCGTTCGGCATTCCGAAATTTAGGACTTCGGCACTTCGACACTTCGGAAATTCTGTAATTTCGGCACTTCGGCAACGTCGGCAACTTTGGGACTTCGAAATTCCGGAACATCTCTTGCAGCCGCTTGGTAGATAACTCCCTAATTCCCACGGTCTTTCAGCCAAGTTTACTAATGCTAAGTAAAAATTAATTAGTATTAGTAAATTGTGCCCCTACTCGCTATACCAAGAGTAGGGGCATGTCTATTAAACAGTGAGCAGCTAGTGTTACTGGGAAAGTTCTTTGGAATTTTCCCACGCTGTGTAATTTGACTCATAACTCTCTGATTGGTTACTTAATCCACCAAGCAGAGTGTTATGAGTCAAATTACACAGCGTGGGAAAATTCCAAATAACTTTCCCACGCTATGTAAAATGACACAGAGCACTCTGATTGGTGGATTTCAAACCAACCAATCAGAGTGCTGTGACAGATAAATGACTTACCTGTCAGTCTCTTCATTTACCTGTCAGAGCACTCTGATTGGATGGCTTAAACCCACCAATCAGAGTACTCTGAGCCTAATTGCAGGGCGGGGCAAGGCTTTATAAGCCTTCCACGCCCTGCAGAGCTCAGTCTGCGTGGAGCCCTCGCCGGGTGAAGATGGATTATTTGTTTTTTTGCACTTGTTTTTTTTTTTTTTTTTTAAAGTGCGATGGTTATTATGGCTTTTTATTTGGCCTTTTTGGGGCTGAAAAAAGAAAATTTTAGAAGAAAGAAAACATCAAATGGTAAGTTTTTTTTTTTTTCCGGTACTTAGTTAAATGGTCACCCCTCATTATTTTTAGGATGATTTAGGTAGGGGTTAATTTTTTGGGGGAGGGGGTGACTAGGGGTTTGGGGACCCCTAGTCACCCGGGGAGGGGGGGGGTTATTTTTTTTTTATTTAGGGCCCCTACCCACTGCTCAGGGGTGGGGGCCAGGGGGGAGGACATTAGATCCCCCCCCCTAATTAGTGTTTAGGGCCCCCACCCACCACTCAGGGGCGGGGGCCAGGGGGAGGACATTAGGTCCCTCCCCTAATTAGTATTTTAGGGCTCCCACCCACCGCTCAGGGGTGGGGGCCATGGGGGAGGACATTAGGTCCACCCCCCTCATTCTAATTTAGGTCCCCTACCCACCGCTCATGGGGGAGGACATTAGGTCCCCCCCTAATTAGTATTTTAGGGCCCACCGCTCAGGGGTGGGGGCCAGGGGGGAGGACATCAGGTTACCCCCCATTACGTTACTTTAGGGCCCCCACCCATCGCTCATGGGTGGGGGCCGGGGGAAGGACAATAGGTCCCCCCTTATTTTACTTTAGGGCCCCCACCCGCCACAGGCTGCTCACTGTTTAATAGACATGCCCCTACTTGCGGTATAGCGAGTAGGGGCATAATTTACTAATACTAAGTAATCTTTACCGTGGGAATTAGGGAGTTATCTACTTATTCATTCCTGTCATTACACTGACTGGCCAAGTAACTTACATTTTATATGAATGTATGTTACTTGATTGTTGTAAGTGTTGCAAATGCTTACAGCTGAATCCTGGCTATGTTTGTATACTTTTTTTTTTTAATTGTATACAGTGTAACATTCTTCTTCTTCCACTGGGTAAGTATATTAGTACTTAGGCAATACTGTGTTTCGGAACTTCGGCAACTTTGGAACTATGGCACTTCGACACTTCGGAAATTCTGTAATTTCTGAACTTCGGGACCTCGGTAATTCGGCACTTCGGCTATTCGGACATTCGGAAGTAACCGAATGTCCGAATTGCCCGAAATTCGTCCGAATTCATATTCGGCCCGAAACGAATTGCACATCTATTGTCCATCCCCATCCAAGCCCCTAGCCACTACCACAATAAAAAAAAACACTGCTTACCTCCTCCACCCTAATGATACATTAATTTAATGCCTGTAAAAAAATACTTTTTAAAAACAAAATAAAATCCCCCAAAAACCATCAAAATCGGTCCTTTTGAGAGCTCTGCACAGACAGAGCTTGCCTAGTGGGGAACAGGCTTCCCAATGCTATGCATCAGAGCACTCTGACAGTCTCATTATCTCAAGATTTGCGTGGGAAGTTTCCTTATACGCCAACCAATCAGAGCACTCACGCTGAAAATTATAATAGCTTTTCCCACTATTCAAGCTCAGTCTGGACCGAACACTCAGTAGGCCACAATACACCATCCTCCTCCCCCAGTCTTTTAATAACATTAGAGCCCCCCATTTGCAACTCGTGGCTATGCAGGACATTAGGTTTATTTAAGTTAGAGCCCCCACCAACTAACAGAGGGTGGGGGGTGGAGAATGTGGAGCTGGGATGACACTAAGCCCCATGTTATTCTTTAATTAATTGCCCCCACTGTGGGAACATGGGTACACTAGTATGTCTATCTGTTTTTTAATAGCCCCATGCAGGCCATGGGGAATGGACACTGATCTGTCCACAACCCATTCTAAAGTCCCCCAACATAGTAGCCCTCTATGTTATTAACGCCTGTACAGCAATAGCTGTCCAGCCGCTATTATTTTATAACAGCGTGCAGACACTAAATACTACTGAGAACTTGCAGATTATCTACTCATTGGTAAAGTATAGAAACATAAAGTATTATTCACTAAAGTGAGAATTCAAAGCAAATTATGCCAGTTATGCCATGTGTTTTTTTCTTTATGTTCCCTTCATGTTATTGATTTATTCTCCTCTCCTTACCATTTGCATTTATTTATATTTATTTATATTTATTATATTTACTTTCTTGTTCTGGGTATCAATATCATTCTGTTATCTCCTCCACCCATGGTGTCTGCTGGGTGCTGTTCTATGGGATTGATACTACTGATGGATTATGGGTACACTTGATTGGCAACTGGTACAAGACCTTGCTTTAAACTATGCCCACTGTCAAATTTTGTCAACCTGATGGCTTGAAAAGCGTAGGATCCTTTTTAAGCCAGTTTTATGAATGGGAAGTCACTGATTGGCTGGTTGACTTGGAGAATCAACCTGATGCTGCCTAAGCCTTCCAGTTTCCAGAATTTGGGCAAGCAGAAGCATAGGGGCAGAGAGAGATCCAGTGATGGAACACAGACTCTGGAGTAAAACCATTCGAGAACAGTTTAAGGTGAGCCAGCGTCTCTGAGCTCCTGGCACCATAACCATTTGATGTTGATGAAGTTGTTATGGTGCCCACACTTATTTGCACTAAACAAGAGGTTTTAGTTTTGAGGATTAACAGTAGCAATTATACCCTTAAACAAATCAGAATCAGTGGCTAAGTAGACGTTTTTAGTTTCCATAGAGAATAATATTTTTTTCACCACCTACTTAGCAAATTGCTTTAAGTAGTGGCTGCTGTTAAGTGGTGTATTTTGAAATGGTGCTGCCTGAGGCATGACAGATCTCGGGCACCTCCTAATTTAAATGTACCTGCTCCTTCCTGCCAAGGCCACACCTCTTTCTGTTAACTTACACACATTTTGACTGACAGACACACACTCACAGACCAGCACACACTCTCAGATACACTGACATACACACACATACACTCACTGATTTGACACAATCTGACACACATACAATCATTTAGACAGACACTGACAGACGCATACAATCACCGAAAGACGCATACACTCACTGACAGACATGCACAATCACTCAGACAAACACACTCACAGACACTCACTGACAGACAGAAACACACACATTCATTGAAACACACACACTCACTGATAGACACACACTCACTCACACTGACTCAAATTCACTGACACTCACTCACATTCACTGACACACACACTCACTTCCTCACATTCACTGACACACAGAGTCAAATTCACTGACACACACAGTCACATTCATTGACAAACAAACACATTTTCTCCAAATACTCACAATTATTATTATTTTTTTTTATTATTTAAATCCACCCAGCCTCCCTACTTTTGGGATAGCTGGGTGGATTTTTTTCCTGGTGTCCAGTGTGGCTATTGATAGGCTTGCTGGGCAGGAAGGCGGCCGGACGTGCAGGCGGGTGGGCGCTCTAAGTTGTCATCGAGGGATCTGTGATCTCTCTGCTCAGCTCCCTTGCAGACAGCATAGTGATGCCGGGAGCCGGACTGACATCACATTCCGGTTCCTGGCATTACTGCAGGTCACACGAGGGAGCTGAGCAGAGAGAGCTCAGGTGAAAGTGCTCCCTTGCCACCGGCCCGGAAAACAACTGGCTGTCTGCCCCAGGGGAGCTTAAAGGTGACCAGCCCCATAAAACGAGGCAAACAAGGCATTAGCCTGGGCATTTGGGGGCGGCATTGTTTGCTGCCCCCTTGAAATTGCCGCCCAAGGCAAATCCCTTGTTTGCCTTGCGATAGATACATCCCTGCTGCTGGTAATTCCCTGTCAATACAGATGATATTTAGCAGTTACTAAACAGCCACCAATAGCTAACATTAGTGACAGAAATTTTAGCTAGTAAAAAGTGTCAACTCTGGATTTGATTTAATAGGTTTTCCAAATGATTCAATACTAAAATAAATATTCCAATATACTTTAATGGTGACTTTGATAAATCATTTGTAAAGTTTTTCAACCAGTATTGAATAATTTGGAAATAATATTAAATCAAATCCTTTATGGGAAACAGTCTCTTAATATTTTACATTACAAAGCTTGAAAATAATGATGAAAAGATGATAAATAAGGGTAAATTTTGAATGCATTTAGGAAAAACCTCCAAGAATCTGAGAGCAGTACACTATTTTGTAAGAAAATCAATTCAGTGGATGTTTCATCATCACAAGAACTTTCTTAATTATGGAAATACAGTAGTTTAAATTTTCACAATATCAAATATTTGGTGAGCAGTTAAACTTTTATAGAGATCCAGAGAATCAGAAGAAAAATAAATAAAAAAACGAGAAGAGTATTGAAAAAAAAATTAGTTACAGGGAAATTTAAAGAGGCACACTAAGTAACATAACAACTTCAGCCAATATTAGTTTATCCAAATCTTGGGTTCTACAATGTCAACAGCTCTGCCAAATCAATCAATGCCATTTAGGTCTGGACAAAACTGCAAATGCAAATTTTACATTAGTAATTTGGCAAGAAAGGGGTGATCACAGGGTGCATGGGGGACCTTCAGTTTGTTCCAAATCCCCCGTGAAAATGTTTTGACACAAATCTAGGGCACCAATAGACTTTTAGCACCATAATGATTATATTAGGATTTGGCTGTGGTGCTTAGAGAGCCCCATTAAGCATTATTTTGCTACTCTGAAGCAATACAAGTGCTCACAGAAAAAAAAGTTAACTTTTTTAAATGATTATATGTTTATCTGCAGCCATACTTTGTTCTCACCTGTGAATATTCAAAATATCCTGTGCTATAATGCTGATGCTACAATCCATGGTTTATCACTAAACAGGTGGGAGAACTGTAATATATACTTTATATAAACAATTAGTAAAATCTGTAAACGACCCCATGCTTTGTATACTAACATATTTTTAGTATGCAGCACTTGAACTCACATATTTCATTATATTTCCTCTCACAAATATGTGTGTATATAAATAATAACTCAAATATATTTTTCTCAGGATATATACCTATATTTATTCTGTTAGCAGCTATTGCATTCCTAGTTACTGGTAAATAAGCCGTTTAGTAAAATAAAGCAAAATGTTATTCTGAATGGATGGTTAATTTCACAATGGATCAGCATTTCTTCTTCATCTTTACAATGGGACTTTCTGTAAATCTTTTGTAATTGTCACTAATGCTGAATCTTCTGTCTACTACATGAAGATGGTGTTTATCCGGAGTCCATCTCTTGTCTCCATGTCTATAAATTCTTTGTCTGTCATTATGGTTGTGTGTCCTTGGAAGATGTTACTGTTACACAGTGTCCTTGGTGCCTGTTACCATGGTAACTTGAACTGGGTAGCTAATAGCTAAGCAGCCTGTTATTTACAATAGCAGTTGATGTCTGGTAGCCAGACACTGTGGCTCTGATGTAATTTAAAATAACCACGTATTAATGAATGTTAGCCAGATATTTTGTGTTTGATGCAATTTACAATAACAGTGTATAAAACCTTTCAGCCACGTAGTATATCATGGGAAATTGTTGTATTTTTTCCTTTATTCTACATATCTTTTCTATAATTCTCAACATTTGTTATTTGTCTCTGCTATCTGGATGATGCTTTAATTGGTTATTGTATGTCTTGACTTCTCTTCGACACGGATCTCTGTAATTATCTGCCATATCATCAAGGATGCAAGGGTATTACAGTTTCCTTATTATTTATTTTTTAGCTTTAGGTTAATCAACCAGTTGTTATATTTCTTCACTTCATATACTTTTGTCAGAAGCTTTGATTCCATGGACTTTTATATTTAGTACTGTCATAGATAAATGTAAATAAAGGGTTAAAACCTTTGCCTCAGTTGAATCCTTCCATGTCTGAAAGGGTTAAACGTTAATTCCTTCACTTCTGCTTTTATCGGCAGTCTTTGCAGCACATTCCTTTGCATGTAATGTTACTTTTGTTTTAACCTTGTTATTCTAGCATAGCTTAGATAACACTTTCCCAATTAAGTAATTGTTGCTTGTTTTCTTGTACACATGCGCAGTAGACTAATTCCATAATAAATATGCAATGATTTTGCAATTAAAGATGAGATGATATTCAAGCTACAACTAAGTGTGTCTGTGGTTTTATTATCGGTTCTCCCAAGCACTCGAACATCTAATTAGGAGTCTCTGGTTATCTCTTGAATGATCTTATCCATGATAAATTTCTATATCAGTACCCAACTTCACAGAAGTAATTATTTGCCAATGAGTCCACAAGCTTGGATTCTTTACTCTAAGATCTCTGTGGACTCCCCTCTCTAAAAATGTGTACCTTCAATTCACTTGTTTATTCACCAATTGCCATAGTTCTGTCCACTACTACTACTGCCTAATAAAGTTGACTAATTTCCTGGCTGAACATGGTTTTTGTTTCTGAGGATGCATATATTTTATGCATTCCTCTGTTTAAACTAGGACTTGTTCCTTTTACATGGTTATATTATTTTGCCTTTTTAATACATGATATATATTCCTCTGCTCACCTTTTCTCTATCCAGGATCTTGCTTTTGTTCTTGTGTTTTAAAAATATGTATAAAATATACAACAGAAAAAATAGGAATATTTAACCTGTATCTTGGCTCATTTTGAGGATGCCTTAGGACGGGGCTTAGCTTCAAAGGACATGCAGTTTTATATGTATCTGTAAAGTCCAGTTCAGGCATCAATAAACAGTATTATTTTTATAGGCAGTAATGTTAATTTATCTATGCACATTATGTAGATTTTAAGCACTTTCAATTTTTGCACCTTTTTTTTTTTTTACTAGACCACTTTGTGCTCTTTTTCATCCAAAAGCAATTGTACTTTTCATAGAATTGTAATGTAATGTTGATTACTAAAGTGACTAATACATCCTGTATACAACTTTTAATTGATGCTTGCAATATAATTTTTTTACAGGATGAAACCTAATTTCTACACGATTCATAACATCTTTTGGAATCTTAGATGCAATCCTTCTCACATGAATAAAGGCGTTTTCTATCTGAATACTGACTTTTTAAAGGCAGAGCAAAAATAATTTGTACTTTCTTAAACCATTAAATATATTGGCATTTGTGACCTTAAAAGGATGATTGTGGCATAATTCTAGAATTTGTGCTATTTTGTTTAATTCCATATCCAACTATATACATTGTGCTTCACAACACACCTATCTGGGCATGAACTAAAAAAGTTATATACTTTCATACAGTATAGAAACAATTGTAGCAAATCAAAGTGCTTCTTTACCCAATAACCTGATATATGGGATTTTTACTCACATATTGTTTGCTTTTCCTGGATAATGTAATTTCTAGACCCTGCAGTGTTAATTGGATTTTTGTATAATAATGAGTAAAAGCGGTGTTATGTACATTACATTATGGATAGTAAAATGTAAATGTTACTTTCAACAAATGGGGAGATCACAATACACTTATAATATCAATGATAGATCACTTGAAAATTATTTTTTAAAACATATTTTCAGGAATGAAAATAGCAGATGAGCAAATTTCAAAGTGATGTATACCTTGGCTCAGGATTATGTAAGATAATAGCATATTTTCAAAATGTATAATTACATTTCAGGAACATAATATATGTGAAAGCATTATTGAAATAAAAGGAACTGGATACTCTTTCATAGGAAGGGAAGCAAGATGGTAAATTACATTTTCTATAGTTATACAGTTATGAGAACCTACCTTATATACACGCTTACAAACTTGGACAATAGATTTTGGGAACACTGTGGAATGTTCTGTTGGAATCACCTTTTTATGAAAAATTAACACTGAGAACATTTCTAGAGTATTTGCTGAAAGCTTTTTTTTTTTTTTTTTTTCCTGACTTGATGAATATATTATACTCATGAAAATACTGCACATTTCTGTAGATTAAAAAAAAATAAAAAATTCAGTAACTCCATATTGAACAAAAGTAAAGCTGAATCAGTGTCCCTAGGATGGAATATTTAAATCCAGAAATGTAAAAAGACATATCTCATGACTGATTCATTTAAGTTTTTGGCAATTTAACCTGTATGAAAGACTTCTGGTTTTAAAATATATTTGAACAAAACTCAGAGGAGGACTTGTATTTTGTAAACATGTGGATTAATATATGAGATATGAACATATATAGAAATTGTGTCAAGCTCATCACTTTATATAATTTTGTTCATACCTGACAGGTACTATGTATTCCAAAATCAAACTCTTACTGAGTCCCTAAAGTCACAAAAGTTATGTTATGCTTCTTTTAGCTTACAAAGTGAATATGTTATTTCTCCTGAAGAGTCATCTTGGAATCCATACTGGGGCATATCATTTAATTGCAGTGTTAAATAGTCATTTTAGAATACAGTATTTTCATAGCCAAACTCATAGTTATGAATAAAAAGGGTATAACTGTTTTTGTTTCTGATTTTGCATCCAGAAATCTAGCCTAATCTTCTTTAATTTATTTCTTCTAGCTCAAAAATGTTTTCTTCATCCACTATTTGAAATATTTTAACTTGGTTGTGTGTCTGTTTTTTTTTCCCTTGGTACTTTATTAGAGCGCCACTCACTCATATAAACTGAGAAAGAAACATGACCTTACATTGTTTTTGTGTTGTTTCTGCAGGAATTCAGCAGAGAAAAGAATATCCTCTTCTATAGCTGATTAAGGTCATGGATGAGATCTTTTTTTTCACAGTAGAGATATCCTTTGTTTCTTATTTTCTTTAAAAATAAGCTGTGCTAAGAATGATTTTTTGCCAGGTTTCCCGTAAGCCTTAAAAAATCAAGTAATAGTGATACTAGCCAAAAGTAACATTGTTGCACAATGGATGTGCAAGACGCATAGTATGTGCCTGTATGGTCACAGTGTTATAATGCAGCAATGTGACATGTATTCTTTATTTCTTCAAAATAAATAACTAGCATTACCAAAAATGAGAATTAAATGGCTGTCATCATTTTGTTTACCTACATGACACTACACTTTCCCTTAATTTTGTCTGCCCTCTTCTGCTTGCTTGACCTCTTTCCATCAATATTTAGACTCATGTTTCTTTTTTTTTCCAGGTTTAGCAGCTCTTGGAAAAGTTCCTTCACATTGTAGTTCATCTTGGCTGATGTCTCCATAAAGGCACATTTCCATTCCTTAGCCAAGGCCTCCACTTCTTTTGTCTCCACCTCACGCTGATTCTCATCACATTTGTTTCCCACCAACATGACAGGGATGCTTTCTATGCTCCCTTTGATTTGCAGAATTTGCTGATAAATTGGCTTCAGCTCCTCAATGGATTGTTTGCTTGTGACAGAGAAAACCAAAATAAAGGCATGGCCTTTTGAAATTGAGAGTCGTTGCATGGCTGGAAACTGATGACTCCCAGTTGTGTCTGTGATCTGCAAGGTGCACACACTTTTATCACAGCTAATCACTTGACGATATGTGTCCTCAATTGTGGGGATGTATGTATCACGGAAAGTCCCTTTTACAAAACGTAGGACCAGAGAGCTTTTCCCAACACCCCCAGCTCCAAAAACAACAACTCGATAGTCGTTACTTTGTTCTGGCATTTTAATAGCTTGCACAGTCCCTAGATGAAAGAAAGAAAACACAGTCATTAAACTGATTAACATTTAATTGCAAAGGTCAAGATGATCCACTATACATATTTTATGAAATATATACATGCCTACAAATATATGTACATTTAATGTTTAACTTTAAAATGGGCCTTTCAGTCACAAAAGTGAGGATGACTTTAAGGAGTGGATGTTGAATTCCTAGCAAAGGTACAGTTGAAAGAGATATTAATATCCGGACCTTAACTTATATATTCTTACTTTTGCATAGAAGTGTACTGTTCAGGTCCATAATATACCAGGTTTGGATTAATAAACTGAACAAGATGAAAGGACTGGGCATTCAAGAGATTATGTATACTAACTATTGTATTTTCTTTTTTTTTTTAATTCTTTTAACCAAAATAGCAGCTGACTAAAATAATGATGTTCACTTTATCAACCTTGGAAAGATTAGCTCCTTAAGGACGGCGGCTGCACTATGCCGTCCTTTGGGACCTGGTCCTACACACCGGTGAGCAGTATAGTACGCCCCTGCTGTCCTGCCCACTTACTTGATTGTTGCCGATCTCACAATGATAATCGCAATGGGGGGACTTGCCTGGCATCCCAGGCAGTCCTCTGCGGCTGATTTGGCCCTCCCGGACCATGTAATCGCGATGGCATTACTATCACATGGACGGAATAGGCATCCAAAGCTATGCCTGCAGTGGGCCTGAGTGGAGGACAGGCAGTCTCCCTCAGAGGTGGCTCTCTAATTAGGCAATTTAGGTGGCCGCCTAAGGCCTCGCACAGTCAGGGGCTTCGCGGCCGCCTAAATCACTTGAGGGCAGACTAACATGTTGGGTTCTCGGTCTATGAGGCCCCTGCTGTCAGTCCGCTCGGGGAGAGAGCCAGCCTCAGTCTGCAGCTCCGCCGGGTGAGAGCTGCAGACTGAGGTATCTCACGCCCTCCAGCCAATCAGAGCGTTGCCGCGGGTTACTACAGCAACGCTCTGACTGAAGATCATGAGATATTCCCCATGTGGTCTGCAGCTCTGCATCCGGCAGAGCTGCAGACCGGAAAATCCACCGGACCACCAGGGACATTGGGAGCCCACTGGACCACCAGGGAGTCTGCCACCACTGGACCACCCCTTCACATCCTGTCACCCCTTCTCATCCTGTCACCCCTTCACATCCTGTCACCCCCCTCACATCCTGTCACCCCTTCACATCCTGTCACCCCCTAACACTGTCACCCCCCTCACATCCTGTCACCCCCCCATACATCCTGTCACCCTAACACTGTCACCCCTTCACATCCTGTCACCCATTCACATCCTGTCACCCCTAACACTGTCACCCTCACATCCTGTCACCCCCTAACACTGTCACCCCTTCACATCCTGTCACCCCTTCTCATCCTGTCACCCATTCACATCCTGTCACCCCCTAACACTGTCACCCCTTCACATCCAGTCACCCCTTCTCATCCTGTCACCCATTCACATCCTGTCATCCCCCTAACTCTGTCACCTCCCTGTCACCCCCCTTCACATCCTGTCACCCCCCTTTACATCCTGTCACCCCTTCACATCCTGTCACCCCCCTAACAGTGTCACCCCCTACACATCCGGTCACCCCCTCTCACCCTGTCACCCTCCTTAACATCCTGTCACTCCCCTTCACATCCTGTCACCCCCGTAACACTGTCAAACCCCTCTCACCCTGTCACCCCCTAACACTGTCACCCCCCTAAGACACTGTCACCCCCAACAGTGTCACCCCCCTACACATACTGTCACCCCCTTCACATCCTGTCACCCCCCACCTCACCCTGTCACACACCTCTCACCTGTCACCCCCTCACTCTATATCACCCCCTCTTTTTCTGTCACCCCTCAGACTATGTCACACTCTCTCACACTGTCACCCCCCTCTTACTCTGTCATCACCCTGTCACCCCCACACTATGTCACCCCCACACTATGTCACACCCTCTTATTCTGTCACCCCCTGACTCTGTGACCCTGTCACGCCCTCTTACTCTGTCATCACCTTGTCACCCCCCTCACCCCATCACCCCCTCTTACTTTGTCACCCCACTCTTACTCTGTCATCTCACCTCTTCACCCCCTCTTACTCTGTCACCCCCTTACTCTGTCCCCTTACTCTGTCACCTCACCCTGTCACTCCCCACACACCATGTCACCCCCTAACACTAGGTCACCCCCTTTTATTCTTTCACCCCCTCTCACACTGTCATCCCCTGTCACCCCCCACACCCCGTCACCCCCTGTTACTTTGTCACCATCTCTTACTCTGTCACCCCCTTACTCTGTAACCCTCCTACTGTGTCACCCCCCCTTACTCTGTCACTGTCACGTATTCATCCGTTTATAAAAATGTGGTTAATGACATTTACTGTCCAGACAGGAAAGGTTGTGCCGAGCAGCAATCTAATCCACAGAAGGGTTAATGCTGAGCAGCAATTATGCAAATGGGAACTTGGTAACTGACTTTGCGGTAAAAGACCGGTTACAGCTAATCAGATCTAGAGGAGGGATATTTAGGCCCAGTTATCATCCTGCTCAGTGCCCTGTCGTGGTTTACCTTGTGGTTGTCCGAGAGTGTGTTATTGATTCTGGTAATTCTGGTTATTTGACTTTGGCATTGTTTTTGACTTAAAGGACCACTATAGTGCCCTAAGGGTGCCCCCACCCACCGGGCTCGATGGCAAGGAAAGGAGTTGAACTTCCCTTTTTTCCAGCGCCAAGCGGGGAGCTCTCCTCCTCTCCGCCTCCGATCCTCCTCTTCGGCTGAATGAGCATGCGCGGCAGGAGCTGCGTGCGCATTCAGCCAGTCTCATAGGAAAGCATTCATAATGCTTTCCTATGGACGCTTGCGTCTTCTCACTGTGAGAAGCACGCAAACTCCTCTAGCAGCTGTCAATGAGACAGCCACTAGAGGCTTTAGAGGCTGGATTAACCCATTTATAAACATAGCAGTTTCTCTGAAACTGCTATGTTTATAAAAAAAAAAGGGTTAATCCTAGAGGGAACTGGCACCCAGACCACTTCATTAAGCTGAAGTGATCTGGGTGCCTAGAGTGGTCATTTACTGCTAAAGATCTACCCAAGAAACTTAACGAGTTCATCACATTTGTTATGCAAATTGATAATAGACTAAGAACCAGAGAGAATGCTAGAAATAAGACCAGACGTATGACTATGCCTTTAACACCCCGTCTCTTCAAACCTGTTGTTCCTGACCTTCCTATACAGTCCGAACCTGAACCCATACATTTGGGGGTCACTAGACTGTCAGAGGCCGAGAAATAATATAGGAGAAATGAAGGTTTATGTTTATTCTGCCGTATTAATGGACATATGAGAGACAATTGTCCCATTTGTCCAAAGAAACTACCGCACCTAAGTGCCTTAAGGAGACAGGTCTTAGGTTTAATGGAGACGTCCTCTCAAAAGAATAAATATAGACTTTTCATTGATATTTCAATTATTCTTGACAAAAAGCACTTTTCATGCAAAGCCCTGATGGACTCAAGGGCTCCTGGAAATTTCATTGATATCCAATTTGTCAAGGATAATACTATACCTATTAAGGAGAGACGAGACTATCACCCCTAGCCGTTGAAGCTATTGATGGGAGACCACTCTCACAACCATTAATAACGCATGAAACCTTACCCATATATATTTCCATTAGTGCCTTACATAAGGAAGAGATTATATTTCAGGTGATTGCATCTCCTTCTTGTCCTATCATATTAGGATTTCCATGGCTTAGGAAGCATAACCTTCACATTGACTGGGCTAATGGGGAAATATTAGAATGAGGTAAGGAGTGTAATGAAAGGTGTATATTGCATGTCACCAAAAGAGTGGGCACTATTGAATTACCCACTAGTACACCTCAAAATCCTGAGATTCCTATACAATACCGACACCTTCAGCTCCCTGGGACACACACTGCCGCTGGGGAGGAAGGACGGCACCTTCAGCTCCCTGGGACACACACTGCCGCTGGGGAGGAAGGACGGCACCTTCAGCTCCCTGGGACACACACTGCCGCTGGGGAGGAAGGACTACACCTTCAGCTCCCTGGGACACACACTGCCGCTGGGGAGGAAGGACGACACCTTCAGCTCCCTGGGACACACACACACACTGCCGCTGGGGAGGAAGGACGACACCTTCAGCTCCCTGAGACACACACTGCCACTGGGGAGGAAGGACGACACCTTCAGCTCCCTGGGACGCACACTGCCGCTGGGGAGGAAGGACGACACCTTCAGCTCCCTGGGACACCCACTGCCGCTGGGGAAGAAGGACGGCACCTTCAGCTCCCTGGGACACACACTGCCGCTGGGGAGGAAGGACGACACCTTCAGCTCCCTGGGACACACACTGCCGCTGGGGAGAAAGGACGACACGCTTCTCTCTCTGTAACTTGCTCGCCCACTGGGGTCTCTCCCAACCTGCCAACTCACGTGTCTGCCCTGCTCCGACCTGCAGGTACTCTTCTACCTGTCTCCTCACGAACTGCACATATTTCTCCGGGGGGTTGGGTCCAAGGAAAGCCAGCCGCATGGTAAACTCTCTGTCATACTACTCCTGAGTGTAGCTGGATGCCATGCTTGCACTGCTGAAGTTGGTTCTTTTGTAGATAGGGTCGCTGTACGGGTACTGGCGTTGCCCTCAATTTGTAATCCAGGAACTGGTGTTGTATTATAGCTGTCCTTCTGGGCTGTGGAAATGATCCCACCGCTGCCACCAATTGTAACGGACAGTTTTGCCCAAAAGAGGTTAAAAACCGTTTAGGCAATATTCCCCTTTTTCAGCTGCACAGACAGCTACTGCAAGCACCAATCTCCTGAACTGCAAACCCACGAATTCACCAACTCCCGAACTGCAACCAAGGGAATACTCGAAACTCCCGAACTGGAGACAAACGAATAGCTGCTAGCAGACGAACAGGAAAAGCCCCCAG